CTACTACTACTACTACTATCATAATGATAATAAGAAGAACCATCATTAAAATGATAATGATAATAATTATCATAGTAATAATATGTGATAATCGTACTTACAATCAAATGAAATGACAATTGTCATCCTAACAATGGTAGTTTCCCTAAATGAGGGGACCCCCATATAGACCCCAATACACTATAGTCCTTATTATAGGGACCCCCAAAAGGTATCCCCTAATTTTAGGAAACCCCCCCAATCATGATGTGATCCACGCAGCCTGCAGCCGCCGCTCGCGACGCTCCTCTCGCTGTCGGTGCTGCTGCTCCTAGGGATGTCAGTAGGCGCATTAGGAGAAACGCCTGTAGTGATTTTTGCGGCTAATGCAGGCTAATGGAAACAACTGCGAACACGGGACTCATAGTAACTTTACCCAGTCTACTTTCGGAAAGAGGGATCAGGGGTCCCCAGCGAACCCCTCTCGAGACTGCTGCAGCAGCTACTGAAACTTTGCATCCCTAGGTGCTCCTCGCGCTGCTCTTGAAGCAGGCGCCTCTGAACCTGAGGATGATCAAAGGGAAGCGGCGGCTCCATGTTTGACCAAAAGACGTTTAACTTCTGCTGATCGACTTGCCCAAAGCACTCTACTCACAAAAAAGTCCTGTCTCAGAGACGGGCATTGCGCTCCAGGGCACGCACCTAAGCTGTCCGTGTGCTTGTTGCAAGGGCCTTTCAAGATGGAATCCGCAACCCCCCTCCTGCTGCCTTTAAGATTGTTAGGGTGGCGTGATTGCTGATGCTCTTGCTGCTGCTTCTGTTGCTCCTGCTGTCACTGCTTCCCACTGCCGCAACTCAGTTGTTGGCGGCGGCTACGTAGCATTGCCGTCGCTATCTTGATGCCATTGATGACCGTCATGGCCATGATGATGATGATGATGATAATGATGATGATGCTGATGGCATCCATGGCACTGTTTAGGACGTCTTGGGGGGCGGCTAGGCTGCGATGATGCTCGGACTCCTGCTCCGCCTTTGGCGGAAGGTGTGCAGGCCTGGAGGCAACAACATTCATGATCGAAGTGGCTTGTCATCATTTCACTCCGCTTCTGACAGAAGGCACACCGGTTCCGGTGATGTGATGGCGTCGCAAATCGATGTTGCCCCCTCCCGCACCTCCAAGACGTCAAGGAACCGCCCGTGCCTGGCACGACTTCCAATCACACTGACCACCAGGAATGAGCATCCGGGCCTGGTGAAGCGGCGGCATCTGCCGCGCAGTAGCCCAGGAGAAGGTCCTGTTCAGGGTCTTCTTTCGTAAAGAACACCACGGTGTTCTTTCGCAAAGAAGACCACAGCTCCCAAACCCTCAGAAAGATTTGTCGCATGTGGCACTCGACAAACATATCTGATGTAAACTACTTTGACTTAAACACTGAACGACTTATCTGCAGAGACGCAGTGCCTCTTCACCCTGGCCACAAGGTCCCATATGGTAGTTTCCCAAAATAAGGGGACCCTAATATAGACCCCAATATACTATAGTCCTTATTATAGGGATCCACAAACAGGTACCCCTAATTTTGGGAATCCCCCATATCACCCGGTGGCCTCTTGCGACATGTGACTCTCCTCGGGCTCTGGCCGGGGTAGCCTTAGGGCGCTTCTGGATGCTGGGGACACAGGGAGGTTGTTCTACAGGTCAACGGAGAGACAGAGGGACCACTGGGAATATACTTTGCTGAAAGCAGCTCCAAACCAATAAGGGAACCTATCTTCTGGCCATTTCAGGGACAAGCCGCTTCAACAACTACAGTACCATGTGTTGCGTGGCTTCTCAGATGCAGGCGCTACCTCGGCAGAACAAACGACGAAGTGTGCACCGCAAGCGAGTGCAACAACAGGCCTCCGGGGTGCCAATCGTACTCACTAGGAGCTTGTAGGTCAACTTTCGTTTCTAGATGTTTCCAGGCAGAGGAACCCGCCTCACAGTTTTTAAGCGCCCAACCCCCTGAAAACAATTGGATAGGAGGTTGTTGTTGCACACAGTGCCACGCATTGAAATTGTCGGATGTGCTTAAGTGCAGGGTGCGTGCATCCCACCACATGCGGCTTCCTTTTTGGAACCTCAGTGCGCATCTACACAATCCCTTCGCTTGCAAGGGATTGCCGTACTGCACGTTGCAGAAATCCAGTCAAACTGAACCGCATGCTGGGCACGCGCGCAGGATTGCTGACATGGACGGGAACTGAGCCCTAGCAGAGCATCGGCCAACCTTGGCAAGTCCAAGACAGGCCAACTCATTGAGGCCTCGGGGAATCCAAGCTTGCAACCTTTCAAAGAGTGGAAAGTCTAGACTCTTCACAGATCTCAAAAGCACAGCAACTTAGAAAGCAATCTTAACCTTCAGAGGCTTTGCTCGGCCCCTTATTGCAGCCGGCAGTCAGGCCTGCAAACTTGCCCTATTCGCGCCGTTGGATAGAAAAACAAATTGCGCTGGAACTTTGCGCAGGCAGTTCGCAATGTCTGACAATTGCCAAAGACAATTCATCGATTTGAAGCTATTGGCACCAAGTGATGATGGCAAACCACAACAAAGGTCGCGCAAGGCGCAGAGTTGTGTTGGCTGATACTTCTGTGCGCACCTGCCGTCTGAGTCTTTTGCTCAAGCGGTTGGCATGCGAGCACCCCTCTGGCAAGGCCAGATGGAAAATCAAGGGATGCCCTACGCCTGCCAAGCGCCAACAAAGCTGGTACATGGTATCGGCAATTCACATTGCCAAAGGGAGCAACAAGTAGCATAAGTAGAAGATCTTCCAAACAAACATGTAGAAGTCGAACACCTGCTTGGGCTTCTCGGCATCGACCAGCCTCTCCTCATCACTGCGCTTTGGCTCAGGTTTCTAAGAAATTCGATGCGGATTTCTCTCACAGCACCATGTCCTTTCGTTGAAGCGATCTGCAGAAGAGCAGGGAGATGACAGCCAGAACACCTGGCTGAAGCTTCCGAGCTATAGGGCCTCCCTGGAACCTTTTGCCAGTGCTTTCTATTCTAGACGTCCGCCACATTACTACGCTGCCAGGGCCGCGCCTCTGGCCAGTGCACTGCCGGGAGCCTTGCTGACGAAAGCCCAACCACTTGCTAGGCCGAAGGATGTCGCAGTTCCCACCAGCAGGAACTTGAGGAGCGACACTGCCTTGGGTCTGAACCGTTGCATGACCGGGATGCGCTGGCATGCTTTTTCATGTTGTCAGCGAGGGCCCCAGCCCAGCCGCTGCGTCCAAGGCGCGATGCGAAGGGCCCGCGCAGGCCCCAAACGCACACTCACAGATCTAATGCTTGCTTTCTGATCCCCAAGGACGTCGGGAACGTCCTTCCATGAGGGACAGTGCCTACATATTCCTCGAATTTTTTGAGGTTGCCTATGAACTGGCCACTAGCACTCTGTCCTTCATCAAAGCAATGACCAGGCCGAAAATTGCAAAGAAGCTTGCAGCCATTGCGCTGCGGAGGGTTGACACCTGTCCTCAGGGTTCGCGCTTTGGTGAAAGTCACCCGCTGCACACGCCGTCACTTGCCTGCCTGAGACGCCAAGGGCATGTACAATGTAATAGTAGAAGCCCATGTTGACGACAATACCGCGCACAACGATGATGCCTCATTTCACTCCACATGAGCCATTGTCTAAACTCCTAGTATCCCCCTTCATAACCCATGTAGTAGTCCCATATATAATCCCCTATATGACCCCCTTTAAGGAGTTTAGACTATAGCTCACATGTATGTGCAGGGATTGCATTGGCATGGCAACAATCCTGAGGGTCTCGAGGCCAAGCTGCACAATGCGGCCAGAAATGGAAACCTCTTCAGGCGGAACGGCGGCACAGAGTAGGCCGTACCCAAGATGGCACTTGCAATCAATGGAAACTGCAGCGCCATGACGCCAGCGGTCCTTGGCCAAGCGGCTTGCGAACCGAATCTGTACAGTTTGTCAGGTTGTTTGGGAGCTTGACAACTAGCACTATGCGGACATCTTGTGCTCAATCCTGCACTTTGGGCCACCAAATTCAAGCATGGGACGGCAGCTGACATGCGTTCTTGCATCCCTTCGTCAAACGAGAAGAGCAGGGATCTTAAATGTCTTCTGCTCTTGCACCACTCCTCCTACAGCGCTCACGATGCTGGTGGTGGCGATAGTGATGCCTGAGCCTGAGCCTGAGCCTTCATTTAATGTAGGAACAGCAGCGGTTGCTGTCGTAGTGCTGCAATGGTGGTGGTGGTGGTGGTGGTGGCGGTGGCGGTGGCGGCGGCGGCGGCGGTGGTGGTGGTGGTGCAGCTGCTCCGCTGCTGCTGCTGCTGCTGCTGCTGCTGCTGCTCAGTCGAAGTGCTGACATGTGCACAAGTGCACGCACGAACGGGGTACAGCGCTGGCAGGTCTGTGCGAAAAGAAGTGCTCTTCATCCCAATCGCAGAATATCTGCCCTCAGCGTCCTGCAGCCCCTGTAACGAGACCCTGGCAGGGGTGAACGAGACAGATGTGGCACCACACGCGGTGTAAGTCAGCCAGGTGTGGTGAGATGAATGGACTATTCGGCAAGCCGGCTTACCCTTTGGTGTGCAGTGGCATGTCCTTTCGTCGTGTTTCTCTGATTAACCATCCCCCTGGCGTGCAACAATGCGACAATATTATTGAGTCTCACCCCTCTCTTGTGATACGAAGATACAAGATATCAACAAACTATTGAACTTCCCCACCTCCGGCTGCGAAACAGCTGGTCTGCACGCTTCACCAAAACGCAGCGTGAAATAAAGTAAATCCATGTAAATCCAGTCAAAGCTCGGGTAGGTACACGTCACCGCCTCTGCACCAAAAAGAGAGCCGAGCACGATCAGCCACGCAGCGGTAACGGAGAGTCTGCCAGACGGAATGGGCAGATATGGCTTGTTCCTTGCCAGGAAGCTTCTTGAAATGCAACTTGCCAATGACAGCCCGAAGCTCGGCAGACATCTAAGGTCACAGCTGACGATCAATATCAACCTGACTGCTCATCACAGGACGAAGGGCTTGTGGGTTTGATAGCCTTTTACTGTCAGACGAGTTGCATCATAAATCTGGTTGAGACCAGTTATGTAAACCTTGGTGTATGCAATCATGGATATACTATATGCAGGTGCTGTTGCGGATCATGAACCTATTGCATCAACTGAGAACATAGCCCAACCTTTGGTAGATCAAGGCTAGTTTAATTTCAACACAGACCGTGCGATTACTATAGCAGTGCACCAAATTGTCATGCTTTTCCCTTTTCATCTCAATCCTGAGGAGATGCCAGACGATCCAGGCTACCTAGTATAGTGGTGACCATCTGTTCTACATCCGATGCCGCACCCTTGGTGCTTTGCTGTTAGAACCTGAAGATTCATCAAAGTTGCATTGACCAGCATTGCTGGCGCGAGCGCTCTGACTGTCTGCAGCGCGAACAGTGGCCAGTCGATGGCAGACAATGGAGCCACCGCAAAAAGGTGAACCTCCGCACAAATGGTAGTTTCCCTAAATAAGGGGACCCCAATATACACCCCAAAATATGATAATCCTTATTATAGGGACCCCTAAAATGGTAACCCTAATTTTGGGAAACCCCCAAATGGAGGTGAGTCGGGCTCCTAGCGGCTATCCATTTGGTCGAGAACCACTTGCAGCTAAAATAACCCCAATGTACTATGTAGCAGCTTCCATGTTCTTTTCCATTATCCCTATATAACCACAATATACTACAGTAGTTTCCGTTTCGTTTTCCATTATCCCTAGGCAATAGGTAGGATGCCACCAGGTCACGGTCGTAATGGAGATGATCGTCCCAACCAATGTATGAGGACGTGAGAAATCCTTACCGCCAGATTCAGCCGCACATGTTGTCAAGCTCTGCTTTCCAGCACTTCTCATTTTTACAATTACTATTATCAGTACTACTGTTCTTATTTTATTGCTAGTTTTAATATTGTTTTTGTTACTAAAATTATTACAAATTATGGTCTTCTGGACCCTCTGTCAATCCCAGAGTCCCATACAGTCTTCGCCAGATCCAGCAGACCCACCTGCGTGCGGCATGGAACGTTCTGCATGGGACACCCTAAATCCTAAACCCTAAACCCCTAAACCCTACCAATCTGAAGATATCTTATCACCATGACTGCACTTTGAAATCCAAATATGGGCAGCAAAATCTGCCGGCACTTGTAGATAAACACAACCAGCATATATTTGCATCACCAACACCCGCTAACCCAATGGAGAGAGGCACAGATGCAAGGAAGACGGCTTGAGCTTGCCTGTCGTCACTGTTCCTGCACCTATTGCCATTGCATGCTGCAGCTACCACTGCTACCTGTACGGCAGGGAGCGTAGCATGCCTTGTCCTCAACACCACTTAGCTAATCATTTACCTTGAACTGCTTTCCTGCACCCAGGCAAGTCTGAAAGAATTGAACTGAGAGGCAAGTCTCGAAGATCTTCTTGTTGAAGAAGAAACAACCTGCACAGCTACAAAGCCTGCCAAGAAAATCTTAGAGATGGTCATCTTGCTCCGATTCGCACCTGCCCCAGAGCGCCGCACAATGCCAGGCGCCCAGGCCGCCGGGCCGATAGGGCCGTGGCTGCTGCTGTGCTGGCGGCGGCAGTGTCGCCACCTTCAAAGCTACTCAACTCAAAATAACCGGAAAGGTAAACCCTAAACCCTAACCTAAATAGTAGTTTCCATTTTCTTTTCCATTGTCCCTATATATCCCCTATACAACCCCTATAGAACCCATTATGGTGGGCCAAAGCAGCAGGCTGAGCCTGGCCTGCCGGCGTCTTGCAGCCCGTCATCAAACCGAAGCGTATGGTGCCGGTCCGGTAGCCACGGTTCATCAGTGGCATGACCTGCTAAGTTCTAGATAGCACGGGGCCTGCAAGAAGCACCCCTCCGTGGGTGGTTGTCAAAATTATGGTCCCTTTTTGGGTACCCGAAATATTAAGCGCCGTACTATAATAGGGACCCGAAAAGGGACCATAATTTTGACAACCACCCACGTCTGGGGTGCAGCGTTTGGAAAGCCCCACCAAGGCGCCGCGGAAGGTCTCCAGGCCACCTTCCAATGCAGTACGGCTTCTTCATTCCGAATCTCAAGTTTACACGAAATAATATACTATTGCAGTCTCCATCTTCTTTCCATTATGCCAACATAACCCCCCCATATACTATACTATAGTAGTTTCCATTTTCTCTTCCATTATCCCTATATGACCCCAATACAACGCGAAACCCTAAGTCCAATATAGCCCCATATTACTATATAACCCTCATATACTATATAACCCTTGTATATTACATGACCTCTATATTATAACCCCCCATATACTATATAACCCCTACATATTATATAACCCCCCATATACTATATAACCCCTATATATCATATAACCCCCATATATTATAACCCCCCCATATACCATATAACCCCTATATGTTAATCGATCGCCTCTTGCCAGTGCCCACCAACCCTGCGGTCGCAGTGCTGTCTGGATCACGGCCGACCAGAAGGGAGCAATGAACTGGGACCAGTCTTCGCTCCGTATTCCTTCCAAAAGCGAAAGCAATTATATAATCCTATACATAGCAGTTTCCATTTCATGTTCCGCTTGTCTTTTCCATTTGATGCTCCATTATAGGGGTACTACCCCTATACAAGCACTGTCAGCCAAGTTGGGTCACTCAATTCCTTTGGAGGAAGGACTGCTGCGGATTCAATTTCTGCACGCTCCACTTTGGAGGCCACGCCTGTCATGCCCAAATTGGCTACGGCGATCTGGCAGTAGTCGTCCATGCTGCACCAATCCGGCAGATGATATGCCTTGCTAATTTGCTTGAGAAGGCGCTGCTCCTGCAGGTGACATCATTTGACAAGAAGGCCAGGGCACACACACAACATCTGGTGATACTAACTGACCCCTCACTCCTACCATTACATGTAGCTCGAAAATAACAGGAGTGAGGAGTTGCTTGATCGCTGTCCTTCGGCTTCAAAGCTTCATCTTTTGTCAGGTTACGGTGGACCCATGTCACGAGGATGATGCGGCCACCAGGCTTGCAGACTCTGTGCATTTCACTCATAAACCTCATGTTGAGAGACATGACTAAGCTAGCAAGGACTGGCAAAGTTGCTAGGCGCTGCTAGGCTTGCTTTTGCCGAGCTACTTGGCTTTCTCAGGCATGTGCTCGCCGCTTTCCAGTGACCACACAAGGTCGAAAGAGTCATCCGGGAAGGGCATCTTCAGTGCATCTGCCACTTTGAATTCGCAGCTATCAGCTTGTCCCGACTTGACAGACAGCGATGTGGCTTGCTGTTGCTGCTTTGGACTCAGGGTAATACCGGTGACTTTCGCCCCATACTTCTTCTGCAGATGACGCGAAGAGCCTCCGACGCCGCAGCCGACGTCCAAGATTGCTTTGGGAGCTTCAGGACCGGATGAAACTTCTGCCCAGCTCAGCACTTCCTCAATCATGCGAACCTGTGCCTCTCTATGTTGTTGCAGCGATCTCCAGGAGTTGTCCTAGCGCAAAATGATTGGCAAATTATTGACGTCACCGGACCCGTATGAGCAATTCGAAGCCAACAGCCCTGAACCCACTTTCCCAGAAATGAGCAAACCTTGCAGCAGGTCCTCATAGTAGCCGTGATGCAAATGGTCGCCCCAAATCTCCACCCAAACTCCAGTGGACGCATCGTAGAAATCTGCAATCCCTTCTTGTAAAGTCCTCTTTTTTCGGCGCATCAACCCAATCAGGCAAACTGCTACCAGTGCACCAGCCCAGACCGCACTCCGCACCGTTGATCTTCTGGCTACAATTGCCAGTTGCTGCTCTCGGTGAATAGACCTTCTTGGCGGGGCTGAGACTTTTCGCCTGAACCTCACCTTTGGCCCTCCAGGTGTTGAGCCAGCAGTAAACGCCAATCCTCCTCGTAGCTGTTGCGTGGCATGTATTGGACGCTTTGTCCTTTCGGGACAGTTGTACAGTCCACCAAACTCCTGCAGACGCCATCAGATGTGGGTTGGCTCATGCCGGCTCATGACTACAACAACTCTCCTTATCCAATCAATCTTCTTGGAGGCACCATGCAGCTGGTTGTAGCTGGTTGAGCTGTTCGACAGCTTGAGTAAGGACTTGAAAAGCCACAAGATATACCATGCTACAACTCATAGTAGACCCCTGCCATGGCTACACAGCCCCCTAGGGGCTTTCCCTCGCAAACCAAGTTAGAAGATATGTGAAATTATCTTGAAACCTCTCTTGTCTGCTATCATGGCAGAATGGCTCTAAGACAATGCAACCAAAGCTCCAGCGCAGCTAGCTTGAAAGTTGCGTACTCGGCAACTCGTCGATTCTTTCGACGGGGTTCCTTAGCATCATTCAATTCACAGTGCACCACGGGCCTGCAAGAGAAGATAGAAAAGAAAACGGACAACGAAATGAATGGAAACTGGGATGACAAAAGGTACTTATGTAGGGTTTAGGCCTCTATGGCCAACGAATGCGAATGTAGAGGCAAGCCGCGAACAGTCGAACCACCGCTGTGGCAGTGTGGCTTTCTGTGCTGCCAGGTGCTTGACTAAAGCCTTTTGCAGTTGGAACGTAAATATTCTCCGAAAAGCCTGAGCTGCTTACTTGCTGGCGTGGACACTGACTGTGCTGATGCATGAGCAAAGACTGGCCTGCACAAATTGCTTGCAGCACCCGATCATGGGAGCAATCAGGAGCCAAAGCACTATCTACTGGAGCGGCAACCAGCAACTCCAAACGGCGACCACGAGATCTGGCTACTAAAGAGAATGTGCCGTTGCAACTGTCCACCTAGCACGCGTGTAGAAAGGACAGGCCACATCGAGGTGGAAGAGAAACCAAGGCTTGATGATTTGGTAGTTTCCCAAAATCAGAGGGACCCCAATATAGACCCTAAAATGCTAGAAAAACTTATTATGGGGACCCCAAGATGGCAACCCTAATTTTGGGAAACGCCCGTTTCTTCCTGCCTTGTCCCTAAAGCTGTGGCCATCAATGGTCCGGAACGTCCACTGGCGATGCTTCGAGCGATATGCAAGGATGTACTGACTCGTGGTCAGACCAGATATTGTGAACCTTTGCTGGTAGTTTGTATATTATACCGTTATATATTAAATTATACTAGTATATACTATATTCTACCATATTATACTTCCCTAAACTCCAATATTATCCCAATGTCATGGTCAGACGAGAAATTGTGAACCTTTGCTGGTAGTTTCTGACAGCTGCTAGGATGAGCGAAGACTATAAAGGGGATAATGGAAAAGAACATGGAAACTATAGGAATTATAGGGGTTATATAGGGATTATACAGGGGTATTATATTGAGGATTATATAGGGATAATGGAAAAGAAAATGGAAACTACTATAATAGGGTATATATTAGGGTATATATTGGGGTTATAATGGGATAATGGAAAAGAAAACAAAGCTACTATAAGGGGTTACATGCGGATTACAGGGTTTAGGGTTTGGGGATAAGGGAGAAAATGGAAGCTACTATAATGGGGTTATATAGGGTTTAGGGCTTGGGATTTTGGAAAATACAATGGAAGCCACTATAATGGCTTATATGAGGATGATAGGATAATATATATTGGGGTACTATTGGGATAATGGAAAAGAAAATGGAAACTACTCTAATGGGTTATGGCTCATCAACCAACCCGAGCAACTTTCCACCTGTAAGCACCAGCTGCGTTGTTCCCCCATCAGAGATGCCCTGCGACCAGACAAATGCTGTCGGAAATCTTGCGCCGTAATTCATTTCCTGCAAGCAGAGGCTGAAATTAAAAATTAGATTTTTGAAAACGGGCTCAACCACTTCACGACTTCTGAAGCGAGCTCTCCATGTGAGCAGGTCTGGCTTAAACGGATCCAACATGCACAAGGAATGGTTGGATTCCCCATCCAAATATGAGTTGTATAGACATGCTAACACTGAATGTTTGGGAACTGATTCATGAATAGGTCTTTATGAATTCGCATTTGGCTATGCTGCTACACTACATGCTTGCCCAAGTTTCTGCAGGAGAGAGCCATGAACAAAATGACGGCATGCAAGCAGCTCTCTATGCATGTTGTCTAGACAGACTCTGCAAGTTAGTGCATACTAAGTCCACACCACATCACGAAACGACAAGCCGGATCGCCATGGCAACTGAGCAACTCAACTCCGTACTCTGAATGTGGACCTCTGTCACGACTGTTAGCTGCGCGCGCCACAAACACCTCATTCTTTTTCTGGGTTCAAGTTGGTAAGCTGCTTTTTCCAATCATTGTGCAGGTCCAGAGTAGTAACACTCTGTCCTTTTCAGTTTGGAGCCTGCCCAAGGGCTGCAAGTCGTTTTACGTATGTCAGTGTAAACCTGATGGGATCCACAAACCCGAATGCAGACACGTGACATTCAGTTCTATCCTCTCCTCTCCTCTGCCACCCTCTCCTCTATCCTCGCATCCTATCCTCTATACTCTCCTCTCTTTCTGAAAGCATCTCCTCCATCTCTCCTCCATCCCCTCGTCCCCTCTTATTCATCCTCTCCTCTATCCCCTCTTCCATGCTCTTCTCCCCCCATTCTCCATCCTCACCTCCGCCCGCTTCTCCACCCACTCCTCCATCCTCTCCTCTCTCCTCTCTCCTCTCCCCTCTCCCCTCTCTCCTCTGCCCTGTCTCCTCTGTCCTGTCTCCTCTCTTCTCTTTCCTCTCTTCTCTTTTCTCGCCTTCTCCCCTCTGTCCTCTCTCCTCTCCCCTCTCTCCTCTCTTCTCTCCTCTCTCCTCTCCAGTCATCTCCTCTGCTTTCCTCTCTTCTCCTCTCCGGTCCTCTTCTCGTGCGAGGAAGCTAGAAAAAACGACGACATTTCTATGTTTTGCATCCACGACCCCCACGATGCTTGTGACTGTTGACACGTTTGAGACGCGAAGATTACAGCCGCGTCCAAAAGCAACGACAGTTCTGCGTTTTGTGACCGTGACCCCCCCGGTCCCTGTGACTGTTGACACTTTTGAGCCGCGAGGACCAAGTCCAAAAGTGACAGCTCTGCGTTTCGCGACCAGGATCCCCCCGATATCCCCCGATCTTTGTGACTGTTGGCACTTTGGAGACGCGAGGACCAGGAGCAAGTCCAAAAGCGAGGACAGTTCTGCGTTGCGCGACTACGACATCGCGCATCTCGCGAACGCTTGCGGAACGCTTTGCGAACGCTTGCGGACACAAAGGCGACGATTTGTGGTCACCTCCTGGACCCCTGGACCCCAGCCTTAAAACAGGAACAGGGTGAAGGAGGCAGTGCCAAGCGAGCAAGAGGTTGCGCCAAAGATGATCCATGCGTTGGTAGAGGGGATATGGAGGAACCTCTGAGGGAGCTCCGGGGCCCATCCCAGAAAAGGTCGAAAGCCCTTTTTGACAAGCCTTTGATGTTGGCAAACTCGATAAGTCCGCATCTACCTGACCTGTGCGACATGGTCGCCTGCATTCTTGGGGGGCCAGCATGGGCCAGCGCAATTCCGGTGTTTCGCTGCACATAGGTGAGAGTTTGCTCAACAAATTCGCTGCAGGTGTGAACTTGGACTCGTTGGGACGTTGCGGCTTAGCTCCAATCTGCCCCCAAGGGAGGCGCAATGAGGACTTAACACGCTGTGCCCGCCAGCCACAGCAACACAACGTTTCGGGTCCGCAACACTTTCCGTGACCCCACGAGCCTGGTGCGCAAAGCCTTGACCTTGCTGGCCGTTCAGCTCGTACTCTGTTGCCGAGGCCAGAGTCTCCACAAAATAGTGCGTTGGCCTGAACCGCTCGGAAAAAAGCTGGAGGCCACAACTGTACCCTTAGCCGTGAGCTTCGTCAACGAGTAAATGATGGAAAGGTTTTCTAAACGCTCGGCCGGGTAGCAGCATGGGTGACGGAAGTCGCTGCACCCATCCCTCTGGGCCGTCAAAGGGCCTGCCTGGATTCCACAAGACCCGGTCGGAAAGTCGTGCTGCCAGGTGAAGCCCGGAGGGAAAGCTGAAATCCTCGTGCCCCGCAATCCCCATGGCCAAACTTCCATGCAGCTTGAAAAACTTTGGAGCTTTGATAAAAACCCAAGATTCGAGTGTGGAGCTGGAGCCATTGGTCTGAAATCTCCTGAGCTTTCGAAGATTGACAGTTGAACGTTACCCACAGTTTATCGACGATTGGGTAACCCACACAACATTCCTCGACCCAGGCTGGAAAGATTGCCCAATGCCGTCCGGATGTACACAAAACCGCACAAACTTCCACATGCTTCTTCCAAAGTCGTAAATCGTAAAAAAAAACTATGCTTTCAACATAGCTTGCCAGTGATCTGGACAAGAATGCGCAACACACACGAGGGACACCTAAAGGCCGAGGTTCCCAATAGGCAGAGTCCAAGAGTTGCTGTCATGGTAGCGACGCGTGAGCTCTTGGGATAGCTCGTCGGCATTGTGCATCTCTGCCTGGCCACGAACAAAAGCACGCCGTGCGGTGAATGCCGATGCAGCACAGAGCTTTGCAGTGAGGGTCAGGCTCTGTGGGCCTAATTTGGCAGGGCCCGCCTGCGCCGGATCTGAGAACACCTGCCAACAAAGGTCTCAGCATTTTGAGCTAATGATTCTTCCAACGGAGCCCGAGCATCAGCTGGTTCGCCTGCTCCATCTGATGATTGCCATGAGCATCATCCACCAGCACAGCGGTGTACACCTGCAATGAAGCCATCCCAGGGTTTCAACTCAAATTAGCTTGCGGAAGCCTCTGACCAGCGTGGTTCTGAATCCTGAAATGAACCCAAGATCAGCGTGACGGTGCCTCAGCGCCAGGAAACTTTCGCAAACGACGGGTACAAGGCGTATGAGATGCAAGCTTGCCATTAGTTTGTGGGCAGGGCTGCTGCCACAGCATTCGAAGTACGTGCGCCCTCAAAGCCCGAGAGCATTCAAAGACCCTTTGCTGTTAGCCGAGACGCGCTCTGCCTTGAGATCTGTTATTCGGGTGCACCAGCCATTAAACCAAGGTCCATGTTTGCCATGGGTTGCAAGCGGAAGCATACCTAGGCTGCGCCCGAACGCCGGCTCAATCATCGATCAGTTCAACGAGATCCCTCATGCCAGCTCAGCTACAACGCGGACACCTTGTATCAGCTACTTCGCACCAAGCACTTATGCGCCTGAAGCTCTTGCCAACAAGATGAACACTCCTGACCCTGGTACCCAGGTGCCTGTGCGCAACTGAGGCTTCAGCTAGTAAGCATCTAAATAGGCCGTTCTTGAACTGGCATATGCTAGCAGTTGTCCAGTTAAAGAAATGTACAGCCGAGCTTGGCTTCTTGGCGAACGGGGCAAGGGTAGAAGGCTCTGCGTCTGCAATCGTGTGCTGCCATGCAACAAGACAATAGCAGCATGAACGGCAACATGGCCTTGGTGGTGAGAGACTCTTGGATGCTCATGGCCACAGCCTGAAACTCTTCACGCACTGAGCTCCCCGCCACAGCGGCTGGTGCCCGCACAAAGCTGGATTTGGCTTGCATTGGTAGTGAAGGAGAGCAATCAGGACTTTGCCTAACAACAATCTCGTCTCCAAGTTGGCCACATGAGTTGCGTGGCTGTTTAAATCGATATTCTGCTGTGTTGCAGTCTTGCAAGTGGTCGTCTAGGAACCTTGTGTCTGTGTGATGCCCGCCATCAAGACATGATCCTTCGACCCAAGTGCTGTGGTAGCTATTTTCTTGTAAGGAACCCTAAGGAACGAGCCAATGGCTAGTATCAATATACAGTCCATCCGCAGAGTCAGGCAGCCTGCTCATGTCTCTTCCATATCAGTAGGCCTTTCTTGCATGCATCTTATATATGTCTGCCTGCAATTTGTCAACACATGGGTGGTTGTCAAAATTATGTTCCTTTTTGGGATCCCTGTTATAATACGGCAACTAATATTTAAGGTACCCAAAAAGGGATCATAATTTTGACAACCACCCACATGCAAGTGCAAGCAGAGACTTGCCACCGATGCCTTTCGGGGCCGAATTCAATGACAGGTTGAGGTCCGACGTGCGCCGCCTGGCAGGAGGGATCGTGCAAGGCGCTGATGCTTATTACTACTAGTATTATTACTAGTATTATTACTACTATCATTCTTATTACCATTACTGTTATTACTATTATTATTACTGTTATTATTGCTACTATTACTACTATTATTTTTTACTTTTACTATTATCACTATTACGCTAATGCTTTGTGTCTCCGGTGAATCTGCTATGCGTACAAAGCGCATGAATCCAAGGTGGTCGGACTTGGCCTCGCCAGCCTTCTTCATGTTCATTTGCCGTATGTCCATGCCCCAAAGGTGCACCTGCCTGACCAGGAAAGAAAGCAATAACAATAGTACTAATAATAATAGCAACCATGGTAATAATACCAGTAATAATGGGTAGTCTTGGAATCCTACTTCTCGTAATTTCTCGCATGTCCGGAGCAAGATTTGACGCGTATATGCGTTCAAGAGGCCCCTGAGAGCAAACTGCTGCAGTATGCAGCGGTCCGCAGCAGATCCGCCGAGCGCTGACCTGCAAATCTGAGAAGCGGCTGCAAACGCTGTGCAGCCTGAGGCTGCTTGAGCAATGCAGAGACAGCGCCTGTCAGTGCACAAATTGAGTGGCCCACCTCTTTGGGCTGCGCGCCGTCCAGAATCTGCAGCAGACATACGTTGTGAGAGCCACTAATAGGCTGATGTAGGCTACTAGGACAACATGGATCACCTTTTTCCATACAGTCGGCCATGAAGATCCCCAATCTCGAATTTGTACATAGCAAAGGATCAAGGGAGCGCAACATAATGCAAGGCACGGCGTGGCAAAGTGCTTTGCCCGTAACACGCACCCTCCCGCGACAGGTACTGTGAACCTCCTACTACTCCAACTACATCCAACTACAAGTAAGACTAGCACCAGTCATGCTTATCAGGACCTGTCCTCCAACCTCGGGCAGTGTGCAAAGGGAGGCAACTTTGGCCTTGCAACAAGTCAGGCTCAGCTTCAACAGTCTGGGTTAGAAAACTCACATAATCTACTGCACAATGCACGGGCCTCGAAAAATCTTCGCCGCGTCGACCAAGCCTGAAGCATGCCAGGGTGCAGAACATGACCTGGTTCCAAAACTAGGTGGCGCACTGGCCATGGTCGTCTGCGCCGAAGCAGACCAGGCAGCCCTGGCAAATCAGAGCCTCAAAGAAAAGTTTGTGGCTATTTGGAAACAGGGAACGTTCAGGTTCTTGGATGCCGGCTGTGTGACGCAGGCCGCAGCTCACCTGCGTGATGCGCTGCGGCAGCCTGTCCAACAACCGATCTCTTTGTGCTAATTAGATGTTATGAACAAGTCGGGACATTTTGTCAGCTCAAGCAGCCACCCAGAAAGGTGACTGTGTTCACGCTATGTCACGCCATAACATCATCTTAGGATCGACATGATGTTGTGAGCCCGAGGGTCTTCCTTCACGCAATCATGTAAAGGGCCAGAAGCTGATATCTCGGATATGCAGAGGTGCCGCGCTAAAGCTGATTCGCAAATCCAAGAATGAGAACCTAAGAAGTTGGTTCTGCGGAAGGCAATGACTTTCGCATTTTGGTCCAGAATTGGTAAGGAAAAATTGCCCCTGAAAGGTTGGCTACAGTAGCTCGGAAATGGATCTAGCTTGGGTGTTGCAAGAACACATTCCAACATCTTATAAATAAACTTGTGGGATAGCAAGCGGCGCATGACGAACTGGAGGGTTCTTGATGGTGTCTCTTCAGGTCCTGAATGGCTCTGCGAAGCAGGTTGCAAGGGGTAGACCACGAAGCAATGATATGCAATGATCTTGCATCTCTTCCTATAAAGGTTTAACACGAACCCGATACTGGAGCTGTTGAGACTGAATGGGAAAGCTCCACTGCGCAACAGAGCTTAGTGGAGCATGAAGCTGTAGTTTCATGCACGCCTGATTGCTGTAAGCTCCACTGCCGTCCTGTCGATCTTGTTTAGGACCGCAACTGCAGCCGTCGTCTTATTGCTGTGCAATTGCAATCAAGCCAAATATTTGTAATTATCGGGGATCCTCGCAAAGCGTTGCCTTGGTCTGTAGAGGCTTTGGCGCTGAGCTCTAGGACTGGGATCTTGCAGTACAAACGTCAAGTGCGGCCACCATGAAAGCGTCAAAACCTTGTGTTATTCTTGGGGAGTTCACTTATCCGACCCTCGGATGAAGCAGTTCATAGTGATATGCGTCAACGACATAGTGTCGCCTGCCTCCTCGAGCTGCGTGGGGGCGGTGACGCCCTTAGGGTCGGAGTGCCTCATCAGCATCATGCTTGATTTCAGAGGACTGCTAGAGGGAGGCCCCCAACTTGCCAGGACTGCTGAAGCAAAGGTGTTTCAAAGTCAGGGCCCTGACCACCTGCACCGCTCTCCTGACTTTTCTGACCCAGCCGCTCGGACAAGGCATCCTAAGCCAGAAGGATTACAGCCTTTGGACCGTCTCGGCCAATGTCATGCATGCTGCACAATGTGCAGGACAGCACAGCACGTTTCCAGAGACTAAGGTTGCTACTCCCAGTTCTTCTGTCAACCATGGCACAGCGCGAGGCAGAGCTTGTGAGGTCGCCTCAAAGCAGTCGCTTGGCAAAGAAGAGGCCCCCAAACCCTTGTCTGGCCTCGTAGCCCAAGCGTCCATGTAGACCGGATCCCCAGGTAAACACTGCACCAGCACGTTCCTGCACAGTGCATTGTTCGAAGAGTCGCCTTTTCACATCGCGTTCATGCAACTGCACTTCCCTGACAAGCATGAGGCAAGACCTCCTCACTCAAACAAACGGAGAAAACGGTTCTATGTACAAGGAACCGTTCAGGCAATTGGGCCTCGTCAAAGCTGGCAGCAACCATGTGACTTTCGCCACAAGCAATCGCCTGGATTTCAATGAACAATAGTCCTTGAGGATATATGGTCCATCCCTCGTTGGTATTCTGCCTACGCGCTTTGCAGGCTGAAAGCCGCAGCAATTGCAAGTGGCATACAAAGCCGCTGCGATGCACGCAGAGCCAAAAATCCNNCAGAGAAGTCTCAAGGTCCACCTCAGCCTCAAAGATTGTTGTGGTCAACATAGATCGCTGCTGCCAGGCAGCTTCTGTCATATGCTTGTCATGTCTTAATCACTGGAAAGACCCCAAGAGCTTCGTCAACACTGAAGGGGGGGAGAGGCGTCTCAGGACAAGAAACTCGCAGACATGC